GGGTCCTCGTGGTTGACAGGGTTTGAATATTTCGTCCATCTACGGTAGTACTGCAAAGTGTCACTCTTGAGAGTTGGATGTCCAACAAGATCACCAAGATTGTAGAACTGTACGGAATAAGAATCCGCACATGTCACAACTGCAAAGATACAAAGAACACTCTCTATTGGCCAGTCTACTCAGACTTGGCACAAGTCTCTAAACAAACAACCCGCTGCATGGCAAGAGTGCACCGCAACAAGACGAGGAGCTTCGCCGGTATCTGTGTGTCCAAACAAAAACGATTTCCACATGTGTCGGAGCTGGAATCCTTGTCCCTTCGTTGGGCCGAACTTGTATATTCAAGAGCTGTTGAACGTGTGTGTGTGTGTGTGCAGGTATCTTCATCTTAGATGCACTTCCAATCGAACATCAGTGACCCCCACACCCCACCCACATCTATATATATATACATCGATGACAATGTTGCGCAATCAATGATCCTGTTACCCAATCCATGACTGTCTTCTGAAACCGATGACAACAGAAACCACCAAAATCAGAGTTATCGCAGTTTCCCTCACGTTGCTATTGGCACTGTTCGCGCAAACAAACATCTTCAAAAAAATCCTTACTCTACTCAAGAAATGTTGTCATCTCGAATCAACACAAGGAGAACGATGCAATTGGAGCCTTCCACGCCCTTCTCTTAGCCAAAACGCATTTCAAAAGAAGCCTTCTTCAAGTTGGACCAGATTGCACTCGGAAGCTCTTCCCAAGCATTACTGGGGATCTGGTCGCAATAAGACAGATCTAGGTCCTGCGTCTGCAAGGTAACTGCATGTTGGAACAACATGTGCAGTTGAGTGCAGTGGATGCTCCTCCAGACTGGTGCTCTGGGCCAAAGTCTTCAGAAGATGCTTCGCTCCCTCAGCACCCTTCGTGTTGACATTGAAGCACCTCAAAAACACGGAGATGCATTGAACTAGTTGATGGGAATCGGTAAAGTGCGCACAACAAGTTCAGCAAGTCGAGCCCCATCTCAGCGTGATGTTCAATTATGCTTCCCAAGAATTCACACTTCTAAGAGATGTAGACACATGCTTTGTTGTGTCCTTTCTTTTGGCGTGCGTCTCTTCACAAACAAACACATCCAAAAAATAATCTTACTACACTCCCTGAAACCAACATGGAAGTGGAGAATGGCCCCTTGGAAGACCATTTTCCACTACAAACAGGTGGTTGTCCACGTCCATGTTAGTTCCAGGGAGGGTAAGTAGTTTGGACACCTGGAATCAACAAGGAGAACGATGCAACTGGAGCCTTCTACGCCCTTCTCTTGGCCAAGACTCTGCTGAAAAAATGCCTTCTTCAAGTTGGACCAGTTTGCAGTCTGAAGCACTTCCCAAGCATCACTGGGGATTTCATGGCACGAAGACAGATTAAGGTCCTGCGTCCGCACAGGCAACTGCATTTTGGACGAAATGCGCAGTCGGGTGCAGTGGATGCTCCTCCAGAGCGGCGCTCTGGGCCAACGCCTTCAAAAGATGCTTCGCTCCCTCAGCACCCTTCGTGTTGTCATAGAAGCACCTCAACGACACGGAGGTGCAGTGAACCAGTTGATGACCATTAGTTGATGTGGTGTGTGTGTCCAAGAGGTTCGGAAGCATAGTGTTGAAGACGCTCACACTTGTAAAACATGTTGAATATGAGTATGAGTCTGAGTCATGTTGTTTCCTTTCTTTGGGCGTGCTCCAAGTCACAAACAAACCCCCCCCCAAAAGAAGGTCCTTACTGAAGTATTTTCGACATCTGGAAAAAACAGAAGAAGAATGATGCAACTGGAGCCTTCCACGCCCTTCTCTTGGCCAAGACGCTGTTCAAAAGAAGCCTTCTTCAAGTTGGACCAGTTTGCAGTCTCAAGCACTTCCCAAGCATCAGTGGGGATCTCATGGCAAAAAGACAAATCTAGGTCCTGCAGCGGCTTGTGCACAGCAAAATAGGGGCAGCGACAGCGCACCATGTGTGCATACAGTTTGCCCAACTCATTCATGAAGTTCCAAGCTCCTCTGGGTTTTGATTTGACAGGGAGATCAGGACCTGTCGTGTGCCATGGTTCCCAATCTTGCTGAAGAAGGTGGATCCAAGTTTCAGCTTGGACGCGGCCCAAGCGTCGCTGCTTACCAAATGCTCAGCGCCGCCATCCAAGCTCAAAATGCAATCATGCGTGAGAGCCATCAGAACCGCCAAAGGTACCTGTTCAGAAACGTCGCTAGAATGGTCTGAATGAAAGGTTCGCTAGCAAAGCGCCTCGTCTGTGCAAGCAAGAGCAGTCTTGACTGCAGAATACGTGACGCGACCTGGGTCCAGTGGCTGAAATTCTGCAAAACAGTAGACATGGCAAAAGGCCAAAACGGCGGAAGAACAAACAAAACGTGAAACCAACTGCAAACAGCACTTGGAAGATCGAAGAACTCTTCCTGCCTTCCAAAGATGCCAAGCGGTGGAAACTCGTATGTTTCACCTGGAGGCGAGAATGCTCATATATGCTCATGGATGCTAATGGGTCGCAGGTCAACGAGCACAAGCAGGCCTCCTCGCCCAATCGTGCAACCAGCCCCAGACCCATCCAGCTCACTGCGGACAATCCCAGCCAGGCTGCAAGGAGCCAGTCGGGGATGGCCTGGTCAATGTGGGGAAGCTGTATAAACAATATGGTATCAATGTTCAATACGTAATACTTAATTGGATTTAATTGGCAATTTGGCACCAGGGTGCCAAAATAAGTCTACTATGACTAACTTTTAGTGTCTCAACTTGCAAAGCTTCAATGCCACGTATTGACCACGGCGCAAAAAATAAAGGCTACAGAAGCCCACTGGTGAAGGAACAAATACCAAAATGCCAGGGTTTCTGGGTCTTCTTTTTAGCCACCTCACGCCACATCCACGAAAGCCCAGCGGATCGAGCCCTGCATGCCTTGGCATGCTCGCTGGCTGAAGCGTACCGTGCAAAGGCTTGAGATGCGACGACAGCTGTCACAGACAACATCTTGATCTTCATGGTACTTTGGAGTGGAAACAACGATGTCGGCTCCAGCAGCTGACCTGGGTGGGCAATCACCGCGGCCAGGACATCTGCCACGCTCGCCTTCCGAAGAAGGCATTTGGCCATCATGGCCAGCCCCATGGTCAGAATGGGGCCTCCTAGTGCAAATCCCTGCCATCTCGCCGAAACATGAAAGAAATTGATAGCAAACACCTGGCAGATGACTTCGGCTGACCTCAGCATCACGATCGCAAGTACCAGAAGAGGCTCCTGATCCTTTTTCAGTTTGCCAGGTACCCCGAGCACCCGTGATGTGCTTGTGTCGCGCGACGCGAAGCCAAGTCCAAGCATACAGCAAGACATAGTGATGGAAGCGCACAACCATGTGAGGTCTTTTGCATCGAGTTGCAAAGCTGCAAAGTCCTTCAGAGAAGACATCCAACTGGGCGAAGAAAACACGCCAATACATGTCATGTGCTTCGGCTGTTATTGGCATCTCAACCCACATCGAACGAAAACCCGGCTCCTTAACTCCGACCATGGTGCAGATCAGAAAGTTGCATTGCACCAAAGCAGAAGTGGCTGATTCTGCGACCTGAATGCAGGAACAGAGTCCAGCCACGCTATGTGTAGAGTCTGGTGGACTCTGCTGGTCCTTTTTGTTCCGTTTTTGTCATTCGTCGTGCATGGAACGTGACGCCTCAGCAAATTTGGTAGCTCCAAGCAATGGGTGTTTCAAGCGGTGCTTGGCAGACCAAATCGTTAGCCACAGCATCTGCAGTTGTAGAAGGACTGCGCACATGGTGGAAGCCTGCAACCACCGCAAAGGAACGCCTACAGCAAGGCCAACAGCTTGCAAAGCATCCAAATCGGGAGACTCATGGGCATGGAATGCCCAAATGTCCTTAGTAAGACACTTCCTGCATCTGATGCGCGCACACATAGCCATAAATTACAAATGAGTTCAACCACCAATATATATATATATAATCCGTTTGTTCTGTTGCGGCGAGCATCTTGCAGACTCAGAATGACAGGCAACATCATGCCTGTGAGGTTGAAAGCCATGTAATCCACCATTCCCGTTTTCACGAATAACATCAGCTGCTTGATGTCGAGCAGAACATCGACATACCACGCGGCCTCGGTGGTCTATTAAGAAGGAAGAAAACTGTTGGGTTGCCCAGGCCAACTGCTGAAAACAGTGGCGAAAAACACCACCCTGACGGTTCTTTTTCTACCCCCCCCCACTGTTTTGCGTGCACAAGTATGATATTTCACAAGCGTGTCCGCGGCGGACAGGGCTACTTGCAGGGAAAAACAACATCCTGGTTTTGACACTATGACACTGCAGTGACATAGAAGACTTAACGGGACCGTGGGCAAAGATCAGAACAGTTCACTACCATAATCCTGTCGAAAGAGAAACAAGAAAATGCAAAGCGTTCAATCATCAAAGGGAAAGGACATCGTCCGTGAATTCTCTCCATCTTGAACATATATATGTCTATGATGTGTTCTCGTTTAACAATCCTCGAGGTTCTTGGGCTTGACTTTGGTATACGGTATACTGTAACATGTAATCAAATAATGTGCACTTCCCGGTTGCAAAACAGCATGGGTCAATTTATATAGGTGTTTTCCCTTAGGTGTCCGACGTTTCTTCACGGAGGGATCTTGATGAAGACTCAAACATTTTTCTGCCGCCGCAGCCGCAGAAAAGAAATGGACGGCCGCGCGTCGCTGGCTTTGTCCAAGACCTTTGTCAGTTTAATACAAACATAATTATTGTAGACTCTTGATTTGATTAATAACCACCCCCATTTGAATTGAAACACCTCTGAATACATATATATATATATATATAGTATATATCCCCTCCAAGTCAATGATCTCGTTAAACCTGTCCATCTCAAAATGAAGACATTGAACACTATTTACTTTACGTTGAACACTATTTACTTTACGTTGAACACTATTTACTTTACCCCATTAAAACCTGAATTGTGTTCATTGTCTCCTGAGAGGTGGATTTCGTTAAATATCCTGCTCCTTTTTGGTGGGTATTCTGGATGGCAAGCGGCCAGCTAGGAACCATTAAGGGTTGCTTCTGGATGGCTAGCGGTAAGTCAAGAATCGCAGTAGGACATTTTGGGCGTTTCTGAGCAATCCAGGGTTTGTGGATGGCAAGTGGCTAGGCCAAGAACCACATGCATGAGCCGATCTTGATGTGGCCATTCGGCTAGATGAGACCATTGCAAGGCAACAGTGTTTCTGCACGATCATCCCTTACTTCGACTCCGCTGGGGCGGAGGTCACGTCTGGTTTCGAAGCCATGCCGGATTCGAAGGAAGCCACGGGAGAACCATCGTCCAGGTGCTGAAGGCGAGGCCATTTGAACTGAGACATGATGTTGGAGCTGCAAAGGGGAACCACGACCACTGCCTAGATCTTTGGAGTTGGACTTGTGTGCTCACATGGAGAACACCCACCTGAGCCTGGCTAGGAATTCTATGAGCAACGGCTGGTGGATGAGGGCAGGGAGATCTGCATGGAGGATCTGGCCAAGAAGATGGGAATGCCAGCAACTTGACATGGGATATGGGTAGTGCCTAGAGTCCAAATGGTGACTTTAAGTGGAATTGGCCATACAAGGACCAGATACTTCGGATGAGATCATAGCGGAAACTGTACAGAGATCAGCCTAGGAGAAGAAGTATCAGAAGCTGATGAAGACGGGTATGGCATCCTGACAGCACACTTGGAGCATCTCTGGATGTTAGTCAGCAGCCAAAGGGTGGTTGCATTGCAACTTTTGCCCTTGAGCCACCTCGATTAAATTCCCTGGAAAACAGCTCCATCCTAGATATCTTATGGACAAGTTTTACGAGGTCATTGACTTGGAGGTAGTTCTACAGATTTCTTAGACCGCAAAACCATGAACGCACCATGTCCGAGGAGAATGGATGTTGGGCACGAAACACCCCTTGGACGTTCCAGGTCAAGATGCATTTGCAATCACTAGTCCCGTGGAGTGTGGATCTTTCACTCTTCAAGGGGTATTTCCAGCTGCCCTCATCCATCCACCTATCCGAATCGATCGACGTCGGCGCCAAGCAGCGACCCCTGGTTTTGACCCAGCCAAGTGGGTTGTCCTGACCAAACAGGGCGCCCCTTCAAACAGGAAACATGTTTTGACCTTGATCTTTTGGGTCTTCCCCCCTAGGTCTTCTGAGTTGTTCAGGGCACCCTGTCCTAGCTCTACTGCGCTTCTTGGCTTAGCTTCTTGCCATCCCACCAGCCACCCTTTCGCAAGTAGTACACCAGCCTTGAGCTGCAACGTGACTTGTGTTCCATCACTGGAAAGAAGACGTGGCTCCAGATTCTGCTCACACGCCACCGTCTCTGCAGAAGTTCTGGTCTTCTGGTGCTCCAGTCTCCGACAGAGCGACATGTCCGACAGAGTGACACTTAGTTAATATACCCATGGTTGCAGTGCACGTGGTGTCCTTTTGGAAAGAATAGATGGGTCGGTTTGGTGCCATTGACCTATTAAACACCAACTAGGCCTCCTCTCTATGTAAAAGGCTATGGGTTATACCACATGATTACTTTTACTGGCGTAAGCCCAGGTTGAGATATCCCACAAAAAAATGGATCGACCGATCTCCTGCCACATCCCACAGCTGTCTCCTATCCTGCTTCTCACTTTCGCTCGCGGCCTTTCCTGCTGAGGCTGCGCTTGTGGACGTGGCCACTCGCTGGAAGCTGTGCAACCCTGATGAGGATTTGGAGGACTGGTTGGCGTTGAAGATCCAAACAAGCCTGCAAGACCAAGCCCTCCCAAATAAAACTGTATGATTTTCTCCAAGTGCCAAAAACACAGAGGCAAACATGCATGTGCAATGTAGTATCTTGGATTGGATCTTGACTCCTCCCCCACAATTCTCACCCACCATCATGTTGGCAGCCTTCGTGACTATCCAGGAAAAGGAAGGTGCCTTCCACCGACACTTGGCCACATGTGTGGGGAGAATGTGTGCAGTAGTTGGAGCAGTGGGTGTTTGGGTGGTCTTGGAGGACCTGAGTGTGGACCCTGATTGAGGTGACCCCAACCCAGGTGGCTGCCAAGTAGCCCCATGATCCAATCAAATGAGTTCTGCTCAACTGGATCCACCACATTCCCTGGTGTTTACAGCAGACCAATTCAGACCCTCCTGCAACTCCCACAATTGTTTTAATACCATCCTCACTTCATGCGTGAAGATCTTCCTATCTCCGCAAAACCCATTGTCCGGACCGTCCTGGATTGGCCCTGGTTGACCCATCTTCCAGACCACCAGACCCTTCACACACCTGACCCTTCTGGACCCTGACCCCTTTGAAAAGGTCTAGGAGTCTAAAATGGAACCTGCTGGCAGGGCCAGTGGCCTGTTTTGGCGTCATTGCAATTAGGGAGCACTGCATTCGCGTGAGTGGAAGGCCGGCTTGGGTATGACCTCTGACAGATCGTTGGTGACAACCTCTGACATCTGATTTGAGTGAATTTTTAGAATCCTTCATGACATAGGACTCTGTGACATGTAGGGCATTGGAGGTATTGTTCACAGCTCCTTTGTCATTTCACCCTAGGCGCATCGACAAATCAGATCCTTGCGGTTCTTGGCTTAGCCGGTTGCCATCCAAAAGTGACCCTTTGGTTCCTAGCTCAAATCCTACTGCGGTTCTTGGCTTAGCCACTTGCCATTCAGATCGAAACCCTTTGGTTCCTAGCTGAAATCCTACTGCGGTTCTTTGCTTAGCCGCTAGCCGCTAGCCATCCAGATCGACACCCAATATCGCTCAGAGAGGCGCCAGCTACAAGTCCAAAGACCCAGTAAAACCAGCTCGTTTGCTTTTTGGAATGTATGAGCAACTCCAGTATACCAGATTACTGTGTATAGAATGAGCTGGCTGCTTGCGCTTTGGAGAAGGTATGTTGTGATCCTGGGTGGCGCTGGTGCTGGCACTGCTGCTGGCGTTGTCAGCTGGCAACGCACACGGTCAATCCTTTGGAGGTGCCGTAAGCTGGCTGCCAAGGCTGCGTGTACATTGTACATTCTTGTTCCAGCCAGCCACATGTGAGCAAGTTGTGGGATTGTGCCTAGCTATCTGGGTCTACGCTGGTGTAATTTCGTGTGTGATCACAAACACCTGAGCCGATACCAGTTGCTGCTAGTGTGAAACCTTTATCCACCACTCTTCACACTTTTCTCGGTCGTCACTGAGGAGATCCCTGAGGACCCCACGATCATTGGCGATGGTGAGACGCCAGGTGGCAGCTGGACGCATTGGTTTTTGGGGTGGACCGTATACAGCTTTGGGGTTATCGGCTTTGAGGTGGACCTTATCACAGGGTTTTGCGCACAAACTAACCCCTCTTTACTAAAGTGTTCTTCGCATGTTTTGACGTAGCTTACATATTTTCCTTGATGAAGCGGTTTAGCATCTCAACTGGATATGCTAGCATGTGGACACATCACCAATGCCCTCATTCTACTGGAGTTGGTCACATGTACTGGGTCTTTGGACCATTCCCACATTCACCACTCATGCCAAGTGGGGAGTGCCTTGCGGCCAAAACTGCGGCCAAGGACCAGTTTGGGTCTGGTCTTGGACAATTGGATCACACTTTTCAATGACTGCCCCACAATGGATGCTCAGGGAGCATGATGGCGATGATGGGTAGGGTATCCCATGATGTTGGATAGTGATCGCGATTTCCCCTTATAACTTTTTGTATATCCTCTGAATCAGAACACACACCAAAACCCAGTAGCAACCATGCAACATGGTGTTCAGGTATATCTTGTTGCGCATGGCCAAGTTCTGCAGGACATGACCCCTTGGATTCCTTTGCCGGGAGACATCCCCAAAGAGTTGGCTCTACGGGCTGAAGAGATCTGTCAGCACTATGGTGTTCACAGATCAAACTCTGATGGTCTGATCAAGGTGCGCTTTTGCATCTGCATGCGCATGTGTAAAACTATGTATACGTATACGTATAGCTTCGGGCAGGCGCAAGCAAAGCTACGAGATGCTGCTCGTGAATGTGTCAAAGGAAACATCTAAGATTCCAAGACTTTAGGCCAGAAAAAGAACGA